GAGACAAATGCTGGCAATCCATAAAAACACCGTCCAAGTCTTAGCCAGTATGTAGCAATTTTTTCTATTCTAAACCATAAGGCTACTCCTGGGACAGAGACAGATATAGGGAATTGTGGCCAATTTTATTTAAATATTTTCATTCCTATGTGTCAGACATTCCTATTAAGAGATGGACAGAACAGGGTAATTTTCAGTCTTGACACAATTAAAGATTTATTTTACTTAACTTCACTTATCCTAATGCCATATTGATCAAGTAATCTACTGCTTTTTACTATGTCAATTATAATTTTTACTGTAAATTAATATATTGGAATTCTGGCAATAATTTCAAACTCATGTGGCTTTTGTCACTGTGATATCTTTTAGAACCATGATATCTTTTAGATTTCATCTAGAGTGTTGACAAAAAGAATCTTGAGTCCAGGCCAGATTGGAGAACATGAACGTATCAATAAGGTAGTGTGAGGTATGGTCCTACTAGCTAACCCGCCTTTCCTTAGTGTAGAGTATCATCATTCCAACTCCACTCTATCTTGGTTTCTAGAATTTCCTCTTCTGCTTTTTGTTTATTAGTAAATCTTTATTTTTTCAAAAGATTTATTTATTTATGCATACAGGCCAGAGGTATGTAGGTGAGAAGATTACCAGAGACAGAGTGAGGAGCAGAACAGGCAGACTAACTGAAATACACTGCTGAGGAGAGCAGCTGGTGAGACAGGAGAGGTCTGCCTTGCCATGTGTGTCACCTATTTAGCGGGAGATCAAACTCGTGCTGCAGTGGTTATGGATAGCTTCATAGTGCTGTGCTTCAATCCTTTGTGCCACCAGGGAGGGTTCTATTTCACGGAGTTTATGTGTTAAAAGTGAAGTAGGGCCCTCCCTGGTGGCGCAGTGGGTTAAAGCACTGCACTGAGAAGCTAAAAGCCACTTCCACATGAGTTCAAATCCCTCCTGCCCCGGAGGAGACCACATGGCGAGCCAGACCTCTCCTGACCCGCCCGCTGCTCCCCTCGGCAGTGTACTTTGTCGATCTGCCTGTTCTGCTCCCCACTCTGTCTCTGGTGAAGCCTCTCACTGCCCCTGAGCCTCTGGCCTGTACCCCAGTTCTGTATGTACAAATAAATAAATCTAAAAAAAAAAAAAAAAAGTGAAGTAGGCAAGTTCTAATAGTGTAGCTTTCTTCTACAGTCTGTATACCTACTGCAGAGTCATGTATTTTGTTAATACTTGGCAATATGTTTACTTATTTTTTTGAAGAAAAAATTTCATTCTGTTTCCTAGTGTTTTTTTAGTATGATAGGAGAAGCAATATTTCAAAATATTTGCTATAAATGCTAACAGAGCTAAGACTAGGAAAACTTTGTTTATTTACTTTTGTGAAATATTAATTCAAATTGCACTACACTGATGAACAGGTGTAAACTACATTGGTAACCTGCAGTACACTGTCAATTTAATTTTTTTTTAAAGATTTGTTTATTTTTGCATACAGAACTGGGGTACAGGCCAGAAGTGCAGGGGCAGTGAGAGGATTCACCAGAGACAGTGGGGAGCAGAACAGGCTGACTAACAAAGTACACTGCTGAGGGGAGTAGCGGGCGAGCCAGGAGAGTTTTGCTGCACCATGTGGGTCACCTCTGGTACAGGGATTGAACTCACACTGAAACAGCAACATCTTGGTTTAACTTCACAGTGCAGTGCACAAACCCACTGTGTCATCAGGGTAGGCCTTTTGTTTTAAACTACTGAGATGAGGTGTTCTTTATACTGTCTGGACACAAGTTTCTTGTCAGAAACAATATTATAATTTTTATAATTATAATTATTTTCTCCCAATCTGCTGCTTTTTAAATTTTTTTTTGATGAGCATTCATTTCTCTCTCTCTCTCTCTTTAAAGATTGACTGATTTATTTATGCATACAAGAGATAGGGTAATAGGCCAGAGGTGTGGGGGTTGGAGTGGTGGTGGGAGGAGTCACCAGAGACAGAGAGGGGAGGAATAGGCAGATTGACAAAGTACACTGCTGAGGGGAGCAGTGGGTCAGACTGGAGAGGTCTGCAACGCCATGTGGGTCACCTCCTTAGCCAGGGATCAAACTCAAGCTGCGATGGCTATAGATAGCTTCATAGTACTGTGCTTCAATCCACTACGCCTCCAGGGAGGGCCCTCGTTTTTCATTTTGATTAAGTACAATTTGTCAGTGTTTCTTCTTTATTTATAGTGCTTTCTCTTTCCTGTCTACCCCTTTCATAACTTCTAAGTTATGAAGATAGATCTATGTTTTCTTCTAGCACTGTATTTTTTATATATAGTACAGAATCCAATCCATAATATTTGTGTATGATGTGAGGTAGAGATCAAGGTTTATTTTTCTGACTATCAAGTAACACTAGCATCACTTGCTGAAGACTTTTCATGCTTCATTGTTTTGCTTCAGTGCTATTGTAAAAGAAGAGAAAAAAAAAGGTTCTATAATGTCTATTTTTACACTTTCTATTCTTTTCCACTGACTTATTTATATAACCTCTATGTCTTGATTACTATAGTTTGGGAGAAGTCTTAAGTTAGGCGTCTAAATCCTCTAATTTTCACCTCCTTTTCTGTGATCGCTTTTGGCCAATCTTGGTCCTCTGCATTTCTAAATAAACATGTTGATTTTGATGAAAACAAGCCCAATGGCATTTTATTTGGATTTTTTTAAATGATTCCATAGATCAGTGGTTTTATGTGAGGATTCTGGACCAGTTATACTCAACATCACCAGGAAAATTGATTACAGATATTAATGTTCAGGCCTTACTTCTTACCTAGCACATCAAAACTCTGGAGAAAGAGCCACACAATCTGTATCTTAGAAGCGTTCCAGGTAATTTTGATGCATGGATAAATTTGGAAGAATTAACAACTTAGAAATATTGAATAGGACTATTCCATGAACAGATATTTCTCCCCATTATTTTGGATGTTCTTTATTTTTTTTCCTCTAATGCTCTATGATTTTAAATGTACATGTCTTACATATATTTTCTGATATTTCTGTATTGCTGATTAACTTTTAGAACTATATCTTTTTTATCGAAGTAACACTGGTTTACAACACTGTGTAGGATTTAGGGCTATAAGTTCATGTCTCTTCAGATGTATGTTACCACATCACACCAATGACCAAAGCACCAACAATCCTCCAACATAGCCATTGGACCCCTCCCACCTTTTCTCCCCATAACCCTTTACTCATTGCCTCAGTTCTGCAATCAGGTGTCTTAAGTTTTGTTTTGGTTTACTTTTGTCAGTTTCTGTGTTTTACTTCTATTTATTCTACATATGAGTGAAATCATTCAGTATACGTCTCTCTCCTAAATACTTTCCTTAGTATAAGCCATCCAGTTTCATCCACATTGTAAAAGATGGCAATATTTTATCTTTTTAATAGTTGAACAGTATTTTACTGTGTCTTTATACCACATCTTCTGAACCTACTCATGTGTCATTATGGACTTAGGTTTCCATAACCTGGCTATTATAAATAGTGTTCCATGAACACAGGAATGCATATATCCCTTCATATATTCTTCCAGTGGGTACCTAGGAGATGAAGTGCTGAATCATATGACAGATTTATTTTTAAAATTTCGAGAAACCTCTATACTGTTTCCCACAGACTGGACCAGTTCTATATTTCTACCAGTAATATGCAATGGTTCCTCCGCCCCCAAACCCCCACTCTTTCTGGTCTTTTAGTATGGGTCATTTTCACAGATGTTAGGTGTATTTCACTTTCATTTTGATTCTCTTATTACTTTCTCCATTTAATTGCTGTCATTAGGATTTCCAATACTATGTTGCCCTGAAGTGGTGAAAGTGGATATTCTTGTCTTGTACATGATCTCAAAGCCAATGCTTTCAGTTTTTTGGTCACTGAATATGTTAGCTATGGGTTTGGCATATATGGCCTTTACTATGTTGAGGTTTGTTCCTTCTATCCCTTTTTTAAAAAATTGAGTTTTTAATCATAAATGAATGTTGTCTCTTATTAAATGCTTTCTCTGCAACTAATGATATGATCATAAGTTTTTATTCTTCCTTTTGTTGACATGATTAATTACACTGATTGATGTGGCTGTTGAACCATCTTTGCACCATTGGAATGAATAATCCTATTAATGCATCATTGAATTTGGTTTGCTAAGATTATGTATGGAATTTTTGCATCTCTGTTCATCAGTAATATTGGTCTGTATACAGTTTTCTTTTTTGTTATGTCCTTGTTGTCTGCTTCTGGTATCAGAATAATAGTAGTCTGATAAAATGTGTTTGAAAGCATTCCATCCTTTTTAACTTTTCTTACTAGTGAAACCATCTGGATTTTTGTGCTTTGGGAGACTTAATTACTTTTTCAGTGCTTTTACTTATAAATGATCTGTTCAGGATTTTTTGTTTTGTTTCCTGTTTCAGTCTTATAAGTTTGCATGCTTTTAAAAATTTGTCCATTTCTTCTGGGCTATGCAGTTTATTGGCATAAAATTGTTCATAGTAGTCTTTTATGATCCCCTGAATTTCTACAATGTCAGTTGTAACTTCTTTTTTATTTCTGATTCTATTTATTAGAGTTTCCTCCCCTTTTTTTTCTTAGTGCGTTAGCCCATTTTTGCTTATCTTTTCAAAGAATTTGCTATTGACTAACTTTTAATCATAGTGTAAAAGTGATATGGGTAGAAGTCTATTTGGGGATAGAGATTTAATAAGAGAATTAAAAAAAAAGTAGAGAGTTCAAATGATGGTAGCATCTTGAAAATTAATTCATTTTTTAATAGCCATACAAAAATAGAAGATTGTTTCCAATGAATTGATAAAGGCTTTAATTAAACATAAGCAACTGGAAAGATGATAAAAACAGAACAATGAGGCACTATGCTCTCCTAAAACGTTGCTCTGCATTCCTGGGGAATACAAACAGCATGTCATTTGAATATTTTTCTTGTGTAATCTTACCTCCAAAGTAGGTGGAGTCTTTCTTGTTTTTCTAATCCAAGCTAGAATAAAAAACAACATTTAAACATAACTTTTCTATAATTTATACAGGCATTCTATTCATTCATGCAAAGAATAAAAGTGTATTGCACACCTATTATATATGTTGTTTTAGGTACAGACACACAACACAGAGCCAATCATAAATTCCTTCCTCTCCTATAACACAATACAGGGAGCACAGAAAATAAACATACATACAGATAATTTATATCATAAAAAAAATATAACAGTGCAGGTAGGAGAAGGGGGGAACATTTCATATCCAAATTCCTATCTCATAAGTGTCTGAATTCCATTTCATAACACATAGTAAAAAATCACAATACAGTAAACATCAAGGCAATATTAAATTACATTATACTAAAAATTCAAATTATTATTGCTCAACTTATAAAGGAAGTAATGTAGAAATGTTTTCAGTTATAGGTATTTCTTTTCTTTTCTCCTCTGCTCTAGCAAGCACTCTAAGGAGTGGTTTTATTAGGCCATAGCTTAGCCAATGGGAGATGCGCTGCAAAGTGGAGAAAGCCCAGATTTGTTGAGACTTATTGGGTCCTGGGTATGCGCTAGATTCTTCATAGCAATGTGAAGGGAATAGGCAACTGCCTCTTGTGAAGTATAGCAGATATACATGGAGGACATGTTCATTATAGATTATAAGGTATCCTAATTTCATAGAAAAATTACTGAACTTTTCCAAATTTAAGCATCAAGTAGTAATGGTGGGATTTGAATACAAATAACCCTGTCTCTGGCTCTAAAATCTTTTTACCCTCTAACTAACCAGAATCTCCAAATTTAGATCACTGAACTAGGAAGAGGAAAAGACTTCAATCCTAATTACATGTCAGAAAATAAGAATTAGGTTACCTCACCTTCTAGACTGGGGAAACTGAGGTTCAGAAATTCTAAGCAATTTTCCTAACGAAAGTCACATACTTAATGAGTAACAGCCCCCAGGAATCAGACCCTGGTTGAACTGGATCTAAAGTGTGAATGTTGTCGTTTCAAAAGCCAATCCTCTCTTTTGACCAGCTCCACTAACTGGCTTTCTGGCACCCAAGTAATAGCACCAGTGCCTGTCCTGACTATACTCCCAGTATTGAATGGCTGTGGGGGTAGAAATACCAATGTCTGTGAGCCTGAAATTAGTTCTTTTCTCTCTCCTCTCTTTTCTTACACTGCTCTCATACATGTTTTTCTAATATAGGTCCAGCATTTTGCTCCTCCACTCCTGTTTCTGAACTTCTACTCCCATTATTCTTTGTTACATTCTTTTCCTTATCATTTCCACTTCTACGTGATTCATTTCTAACCACAACTTGCACAGGTTTTATATTCATTCTTAGGTTATAAGGTTGTCATGGGTAAAATGCATCCCTGGGAGATTTATTTTCTACCACCTAAATGCCTCAAAAGAGTAGGTACTTAATACAGCTGTTGAATGAATACTTCCACTATGAAATACACCCACCATAAAAATATTCATTGTAATGGGATTCTGACCTGTCTTAGAAAATTCAGCTTAGCAATAGCAAAATTTCTCTGCAATCAAGAAAATAAGTGACTTATAGAATTTTTCAACTGCTTCTTTATGATCAAAATAAAAGTTATTTATCTATCTTTGTGGACAATTTTTCCACTAGGAAAGAGTTTCTTTTAAAATAGCTTTAAATGATTCATATACCTACAAAAGGTTTTAAGCAATAAATTTTCAGTTTTAATTTAGATTAAAAGTCAATTCAAAAAGCTCAACTGCCAGGGCAGGAGTGGGGGCAAACTATGGTCTGCAAGTCAAATTTAGGCCCTGTTTGTTTTTACATTTTTAAATTTTTAAGGGGAAAAAAAATCAAAAGAACATATTTTATAACACACAAAAAAATGAAATTTAAATTTCAGTGCATATATATAAGATCTTATTAGAAAACACTCACACTTTTTCATTACATGTTATCTGCTGTTTTGTGCTACAACAGTAAATTAAATAGTTATAACAAAGATCATATGGTACACAAAGTCTAAAATTTTTTACCATGTTGCTAGAGATAAAGTTTGCAACCCCCAAGCTAGACTTATCATCAGGTATAATCCTTTTAGCAATAACATATATTTTAATTAAAAAATACTCTCATATTATCAAAATTATTAACTTATACTTTTTATTCTTAAGCCTATGAACATATTCCACAAGTATTAGGATCATACTAAAAATGAGTACTAAAAATGAAATGTGCACAATGCATATTTATTAAAACTTTAAGCAACAATTGGGTGGACAAAGAAAACACTTTAAGCAACAATTGGGTGGACAAAGAAAACACTTTAATAAAATGCAAATAATTCTTTAATCTAAAAGTAGATTAATAGGTTACAGAAACTCTCCTATATCTTCTAAACTTAACAGTTTTGAGTAAATTTATAAAAATTTTATTCAGAAGTTTAAGAATGCAATATACTTCACATATTACATTATAAGCACATTCACTATCCCTTATTGTGGGATGTTACTTGCTAAGGAAAAGATGTAAGGGTTTCCTTAACTTTGTTGTAAGTGACTCAGGGAAAAAAATCTTTGGTTTATCTGAAGTAAATTTGTATATTTATGATTATACAATAACTAGATTCTTGAAATGTCTTCTTGACACATTCTTTGATGCCCATTCACTGCTATGTGTCCAGTAAGGTTACAGCTGAAAATTTTCATTGTGCTCACTCATTTATATAATGATCACTAGTTTCCCAATCATTACATATAACCAAAGAATGTAGCCCTGATAGTTGGTAAAGGTTAGAAGGAGGAAGGGAGAAGAATAAACATTAATAGCAAATCATTAAATTTTTTTAAAACTCAGAACAATCTGCAACTGAACATCTACCCAATTATAAATTATATAATGATTTTGCAAATGCTAATTATATATGTATGGTGGATTCTGTATCAGTCTTCATTATAATAGAACCATTGTTTGAATAGAATTTAGCAAGATAACCGGATAGTTTATGCCTTAAGATCCTAGTATTCTTTCATCAATGTTCATTTGCATTCTCATCAGTATGCATGAGATTTTCATGGAAGTTTAATACTCTTATTGGAACATAACACACTATAATGAGGTTAAAGTGAGTATGCAAATTAAAACTCCTATTAATCAATAAAGGAGGCTAGAAGAAACAGCATAAAGCATAGATACTTCAACTTTCCACAGACACTGAAAACAGCTAATACACTTAGAAGAACTGCCATGGGGTTAAAGTAAATTAGCTATTTGATATCAGATTTAGTAGACAATCATTCAGAACCAAAGTTATGGAAAGGATATCAACAGTCTGTACCCAAGATATATTAGAAATTATGCTACTTCATTCAGGAAAAAGACACTTTAATAAAACTTCATCTTTTAAAAACGGACATTTGCAAGTGCTGAGTGTTGACACATCTTAAAAAACTATAAAAAAATAAGAAATCCACATTTTTAACTACAAAGAGTCTTCAAATGAAATTATGAAATCAGTCATTTCTGATTACTGACCCTTAATAGTATCTTAAGGATACTATTAAATTTAGTTGACACATTTAAGTGACAAATTTTGTGAAGCTAGTAGATATTACTGGTTTTTTCTTAATCAAACTTTGCTGATATGTAATGAACATATAATACAGTGAAACAATTTTAAGTGTGCAATTCCAGAAGTTCTGACAAATGTATGCAATCCCGTGAACAGCACCACAATCAGTGTATACAACATTCCCATCACCCTGAAAAGTTCCCTAGTGTCTGATTACATGCAAATGCCCAATAAACTGACAGGCATATGTCAATGGATAGAATAGAGACCACACATATACAGTTATGTCATGTCTCACAAAGGCGAAAAGATAATTCAATGGGAAAAGAATGGTTATTGAAAAAATTAGTGTTGGACTAGTAGTCAAAATCACAAAGATAGAAAGTGTATTGGTAGTTGCCAGAGGCTGGGGTGAGAAAAGAATGGAAATTTACTATTTAATAAGTATAGTCTCAGTTTGATAAGATTAAAAAGAGTTATGGAGATAGACGGTGGTGTTGGCTGCAAAACAATCTGAACGTATTTAATACCATGACTTGTACACTTAAAAATGGTTAAGGTAGTAGGTTTTACTATTTTAGTATTTAATGATTGGGTAAGAGGGGCTAAAAACCAGATGTAGTAATATTCTGCAACTCATAGTATTCAATCACACCCAGAGAAATTTAAAAATACTTATTGGCTTAAAGCCTTTAAAAGTAACTAACTGTAGGGCCCTCCCTGGTGGTGCAGCGGGTTAAAGCACAGCACTGAGAAGCTAAAGCCACTTCATGAGTTCGATTCCTGCCTGCCCCGGAGGAGACCACATGGAGTGGCAGACCTCTCCTGGCCCGCCTGCTGCTCCCCAGTGTACTTGGTAGATCTGCCTGTTCTGCTCCCCACTCTGTCTCTGGTGAAGCCTCTCGCCGCCCCTGAGCCTCTGGCCTGTACCCCAGTTCTGTATGAATAAAAAAATCTTTAAAAAAAAAAACAAAACAGTAACTAACTGTAAACAAAAAAAAAAAAAAAGGAAAAAACTATCAATAATATAAAAAATTTTCTAGAATTTTGATTGGAAACACTATATCTACAGATAAGTTTGAAGAGGATGATTCTAGCCTATGAATACAGTATATTTTCATTATTTCTTTAGATGTTTCATTTTTTTACATCAGTATTTTTCAGTTATAGATTTTGCATATTTTATTAAATACTTAAGTGTTTCTTAACTTTTAGGGGTTATTGTTAATTGTCTTTATTTTGATTTCTAATCAGTCATAATACACAGAAATATAACTGATTTTTGTATATCAACAATTTACCTTACTGACACCTCGCTGATCTCGCTTATTTTAATTTACTATCAACATTTTGGAGTTTCTATACAATTTTTCTGATTTTTAGTCTCTCTTCCAATGTATTTTTTACTGTCTTACTGTACTAACAAGGACCT